AAATCTAACACACCTCTTTCGTAAGGTTACTACCCGCAGGTTACGCGAGTTCTTGGATTGTGGAGCGACCGAGTCGCCGTTTTCTATCATCACAGTAGGTAGTTCTACTTCAAGTATTATTAATTATATTAATTCAAATAAACACCTTAACATGATGTATTCTATCAAATTAAATAGATTAGCACAGAAGATAAATATATATATATATATTATTTCAAATGCTTCGATTGAAAAAGCACAGGTATGACTGGTCATGTGGTTGGAAGAATGCCAATTGACCAAAGTTTCAGAAGTAAATTCATTTAAAGTTTGCAAAATACATTGTGCGTAATTTGAACTAAACAATTTAAAATAAATTATAATTTACTTTTGGGAAAATGGCAAATAAGATTGCACCAGTATTATTGGGCTGGAGTGGAGGGGAGCGGAGTGGAAGACTTTTCCATACTCTACTAATTTCAGACAATGTCCGGTTCCCGCCCCAGTAATGATGATATACTGATTTTGTCGACCCCTGGAGAATTTAATTTATCAGACTCAAATCATTAATGTCAGGATAAATAAACTACATTATTATTAGTATTTAAAGTCTTTACGCGAGATGCAAAAAAAATAAAAGAATTTATTCATCCGAACAAAAAGCTGCAAGAAATAATGCTTGAAAGAAAAGATTAGTTTCTATGACACTTGAACAATAATAAAGCTATCGAATCAATAAAAAGACAAGATCGAGGCAAACGCCAAAATACGTAATAGTGGAAAAGAAAATATGACTTATTTGTCAACCCTTTAAATACTGACTGTGGCCTGTATCTTTTTATCGCGGTATTTGTTTGCATGAAATACTTGCAGTCTGATGTGTCTTTTGATTTTAACCTATGCTATTGTTGCAAGGGTTATAGCATATAGCGCTTAACTATGACAATTATTCGTCATTTTGATCAGTTAGCTTTTGTTTACATGTCTAAAAAAAATGACTAGTGCGATAAGTTCTATCACCTTAGTACTTTTAACCTTACCTTATAAAAAAATTCTTACAAAACCTACCAGTTTTTGTAGCACATGCATATGTGGTTAAGATTTGGTTTGTATTGTAAAAACCTCTGTTAACAGAACCTTACGTATGCATAAAAAAATTATTATCTCATTTTCATATGAATAAAATGATTGATGAAAATGTACAGGACACTCGTGATGGATGATAATTTTATTATAAGAGGGATATGCTTGCTTGCATTAACAAGTTATTGTAAAAGTGATATATAAAATCTCTCAAAATAGTAAAAATTAAGATATTTTAGCATTTCAGTATTGATATATGAGTGATGCCAAGAGAAAATGGAACATCATTTTCCCTTGCGTCGCTTATATACTGCGCAGCACATGCAGCCTGCATAGTAGCTTCAAAAAAATCTTGCATTTGTCCACCTCTAGTCTTGTATACGATTTAGTACAAACCCCATTCAATGGCTATTGTAGTATCAAAGTTACAGCCGAGTTATTTATTAGGCATCATTGAATGGATCCAACACGGAATTTTGATTACAATCATCGAAAATGTACCGAGTTATCTAAAGTTTCTCGATCAGGTATCAGATTTTTTTTCTTACAAATTTACATTAGTAACACTTTTGAAAATATATATATATATATATATGAAGCAAGAATTTTCATACTTAATTATAATTTTAAAATATCATCCGATACATCGTCACTATTACCATGCTATTATATTTCTCACGGCGGTAAGTATATAATATCTTTATATGTACCTTGATAGTGAACGATAAAATAAATAACAAATTATATCAACATATAATTGATTAATAAAATTTAAGCGGCGACTTTGCTACTCAATTATGAAAGCAATGAATATAAATTTTTTCAACAATGGGGAAACAAAATTTTGAAAGAAATCAAACCAAATATCATTGTCATTATTTCTGGTCATTGAGAAATTATAGAAGAGATTAGAGGTATATTGCCTAATATACATATCTAAATATATATATATATATACTTTTAAAAAAAAAAATGTGAGAAAATTCTTTTGGGAATTAACACATATTATCGATATTATCAATGTTAGTCGGAAAGCTTGAAGGTGAAACACCGATTATTTATGATTTCCATGGATTTCCAGAAGAATTATACAGACAAGAATATCATAGTAAAGGTTCACCAAAATTAGCTGACAGAATCGTTGATTTGTTAACAAAGGTATTTTTTGATATCTACTGTATGTACAGTATATTTCAAAAATCTGGTCTAGCGTTTACGATTACATAAATTAATAATACTGTAATAGGCTAAATTCAAAGCGACAGTTGATACGACTCGTGGACTCGATCATGGAGTTTGGGTGCCTTTTAAGGTAGCGATTCCTGAACCGAAAGACTTGCACAAGTATCTCTTACACAACACGCTTCATATGAATATAATATTAATGTTGGACGTGCTTTAGCGCCCTTAAGGTATCATCATTAATTATTTTTAATCAAGTTGTTAAAAAGATAACATACAATAATTACATTATTACATATGTAAAAATATAGAGATGAAGGAATTATTTTGATTGGCTCAGGTACGATGGTTCATAACTTACACGACTCAGTCAATCGCAAAACAAATAACATTCTTCAAGAAGTACTCCCCTATACCATGGCAATCGAAAGGGATCTTGATAAAATATTGATAGATTTTAAAGGTTAAGAACGGGAAAAACAATTAATTAAATTGATTGATCATCCACTTTTGAGACAAGCGCATCCAACCGATGATCATTTAGTTCCTATTCATGTCGCAGCCGGTGCCGCAGGGCAGTAGAATTCATTGCTAGTGGATAAAATTTAAAATTTAAACTTAAAGTTGTAATTATTGAATAAATCGATTTTTTTTGAGTTTGTACCACTTGCAGAAAGTTTTGCATGAACCGAAATCGGTATGTGTAATTATCATGATAAATTCACTTTCGGTAAATAGCCTCCATTTGTATCTCACACCAAATGGAGCCCATTTGCCGAAGCACGTCTGATGATGGGCAAGTAGTGCATTTTTTGAATTTAATATGCAGTCTGCAGAGTGGCAATCCCTAAGCACATCTGCCAAATTATGTCATTGCTAGATCAAAATAGCGAAACGTTAGAATGTGGCTTTTACGATTTTTCTGTTTTTTTTTTCGATGTTTTTTTCGAATTGTTATGTCATATACTACATCTTATGATTTTATTGGCTACAATCAGCAATTCTCGACATAACCTGGCACAGATTTCAAACGTGCCGAAAATGGGTTTATCTTACAACTGTTCCCATAAATTCTAGTCATCTGTAAAAATTGACCGATGATTATTCGGTCGAATTCGATAAGTTTTTGAATTCGGTGTTATCGCATTGAATTTTCGATATTAGTCATCGAATTCGGTCGGTCAATTTTTATCAGTTGTCCCAGAATTAAAATACGCATTTTGAACCATGCCATGCGCATCATATGCATGATGCACGATTATCATTTTATGTAATTACTTAATTGCGCATCATGCGCAAATGATACTGCGTTTGCACATCTCTACTAGAGATTACTAGAGATCCGGTAGAATCGTCCCAATGATAGTCGTCACACTGCCGTAACTTACCATAACTATAGCAAGTAATATAGTAAGTTACGCCTATAATGCCGTAACTTACTATACGTATTACTTGCTATAGTTATGGTAAGTTACGGCAGTGTGACGACTATCATTGGGACCATCTCAAATCTCTACCCAGAATAGCTGTAAATGTGTAACACTATTAATTTTTGCGGACACACCCAATGACGCACGTATTACGTACTGTACATAAGGCATCATTTTTTACTAAATATAAACATCTTCAATTCCTAGTTTTGCGCGGCAACATCATGCAGTTATCTAATTCATAATGAATAGTGGGATCAATAATATAGAGGATCCTCCTATAAATTAATTAATAATTATATAATTTTATTACTGTAATGGGGTTCCTTATACTACGTATATTTAACCCTATACATGGTTCCATTGAGATGTAAAAGGAAGGATATTTCATTCGAAAGAATTAATCTGTCGGGATTTCATAATGTATTTAAACCTGTTGTTTTCGCCTCTCATATTCTGAATCGTCATAAATCATTGACTACTAAATAAAAATACTAATAGGTAGCAAGTATAAATCGAAGCGCACATTTCGCTGTACATTTAATATTGATATCTCTTCTGTTATTTAATTCTTGTATTTTATGTATCGTTTATTTATCACTGTATTGAGTTATATTTTATCATATCGAGCTATTATTTGTTTGTAAATTCTCTTAATCTCTTATGGTTCATCCTAATTCTTGTCCCTGTTGGTGTTAATTTATCGTACAGTGACAATTCATCACTATATACTATATTTACATACATACACGCAATATTTTCGTTCAAAACAAAAAATTCTTTCAAAATCATATCTGTAATGGCTGGCAACGAAATAAGTAGGCACTATATTTCTATAATTAACTTTGTAAATTTATAAAATATTAATCGAAATTTCATCTTAGAATTGCTAGAGTATATTGAGTTTCAATTTGGCTTTGCTGAAAATGAAGTCCAGTTCGAAGAAATGTTGGAAAAATTTTTAAGCCTTGTTCTAAAAAAGCTTGCAAGTCCTTATGAAATTGTGCGAAAAAAGGTAAAAAAAAAAAAAAAAAACAATTTTTGATATAATATTCTGATTTATCCAGAAATTTACTTTTTTAAATAATAATAAATCAGGCCATAGATATACTTAATCACATTAACAAAAGAATGACAAAAACCGTCAAATTTCCATGGAATTCGCTTAACGAACTTGTTTGTTCAGAAAATTTTATGAATTCAGCTTTAGTTAAGAATTTTACCATTATATATCTTAAAAAGGCTTACGATCGTTTAACTGAAAAGGTATGCCATAATTCGATTTCTTTCATGCTCAAAAATCAAAGCTTAGACAACATAATGTTTAGCTTTTTACGAGTAATACAAACCGAAAAAAAGATTTTGTTGCCTTTCGCACGGACAGCTTTACAGACCTATTTTTCAATTTCCTTATTTGAGAAACCAACATTAAAATTTTTACGAACTAGAAAATACAGAAAATGGGAACCCAATTTTACTTATAAACGCATAATTAACTCTGACAGAATTTGATATCTTATAATGATCTACTTTGAAATAACATTTGCATACATGTGTGCATAACTATATGAGGGATGGTCCAACAAGTACGTAGAGGTATGCATGTGCGTGATCCATGCGAGATTTTTGAGGAATATGCGATTTGCCCATCATTAACAATGTACAGCTATAAACGTGCCGTTAACTAGGGATTGGCCGATACGCAATGCGACTTTTAACATTCGTGTTAGCTGGCATAATTCAGGCCATCTTGCATAATGCTGCAGACTGTGCGCAGTAATTTGCGGCAAATAGTACCCCGGGTCTCTTACATTCCTAGACCTTAAAAATTGATTAGTACCCTGGGACCGTCAATTGACTATATAATTTGTCTAAATTGACGTTCAATTGACGGTGGGTGGGTACTTTAACAAGGGGTACTATTTGCCGAAAATTACGGTAGATTCAAAAATGCTCGATTTGCCCATCCCTAGCTAGCCTTTATCTCAACATCAAACTAATTTTAATTATTTTGCTTTAGATACACTTCAAAAAAAAAAAAAAAAAAAAAAAAAAATTGAAAAAATTGAAAAATAGGTCGTTAGAGTTAGTTGGTCAGTCGAAAATATTTGGTGGGATAGTTATATTCGGCCCAGATAATTATGAGGTTTTAAAAAAGATTAGCATTTAAAATCAACATCAGGATATTTTATGACATGAATATTATAGTGTTGAAGTGATTCACAATATCTATTTGTTAAAAAAAAAAAAAAAAAACTTATTTTTTTAAATTCTTCCTTAAACTTTTCCGTAGGATAAAATTACATATCTAGTGTCATTAATTAAAAATATTGAATTGAAACCTCCTGATCAGAAAGGTTTATTATTAAAAGTAATTTTCGAGGTAAATTTAAAAATAGTTATTATATAATTTTGTGAGATTAATCAATATCATACATTATAATCATTTTTATTTCTTTTCAGCTCTTAAAAACACTAAATCTTAAATTTGCAGATTTGGAAATACAAGAGGTTATTATATGCCAAATTAACTTTATTCTCATTTATTTACAGTTAACAAAACTAAGAATTACTAATAAAGACTTTAATAGGTGGTAGATAATTTATATAATCTATATGAAAGTGGTAGATTATTATCAAGTACGTAATAATAATACAGTATCCTGTCAATATCTGTTAGTCAATTAAATGAATTTTATAAATAGATCAAAAAGGGACATTATATCAATCACAATCACTTAAATCCAAAATAATGGACTATCTCTGCAAGTCCAAACTAGCTGCAAATCTCTTTCCGGAAATGTTACATGTTTCACTCGATTGTCTATATAGTATGTTGAAATTGTTTCATTTGAAAGTATTTATTAAATTACAGCATGTTTTTTCTTTATTCACATTCGTATTTGATTCATTAAGGTCCCAAAACTGAAGAATATTTGCAGAAACAAGGAGTAAATTTTATTCAATGGATTACTAGGACGGTTAGCTAATTTTTCAATCATTTTTATTGTATAATAATAAATTCCTCAAATAAATAAATTTTCTGAATGCCTACATATTTAGGTCGATATTTCAAAATTAGAGCTGATTGGAAAATCGCTATTATTTTATTTATTAAAAATCATTAAAGAGACCAAAATTGAGAATTATGATAATTTAATGACAAAACAAGAAATAAATAAAGAACTTCTCTTCAAGCTTGTTTATGGTCCGGTTGACTTGTCTATTCACAATTCTGAAGGTATTCATATAAACTAATTAATTGATTTGTTGATATATATTTATATTTTTTATTTATAAAAAATTTCCAATAATAGATAATGAATGTTCAAATGTAATAATAATTCAATTTCAAGAGATTAATCAGCTAGATCAATTTGATCATGAGAAAATTATGCAGGAAATGCTAAATATTTTAGAGGAAACCACCGATAAGGTTAGAATATTTGTGGGAAACTTTTTAGTCATTTTTTAACTTGCACTAATACATGATCTAATTTTTATTTTCGCATTAGTCATCTCATATGATTAATTGTTGTATATTAAATTATGCTTTTAGTCATTTCCAATTTGCGCCCATCTTAAAGAAGATTAAATCTTCTTCTTTCTCTAAGATTGCCAATCTGATTCATGAAAAATATATTCAATGTACTCGTCAGTCGGTTGATATCCCACGAACAAGTATATCAACATTAACGGATAAGAATGATCAAATATTAGCTAATAAAATGTACGATCTTGGACGTTGCTATGAAAAAGGAATTGGAGTTAAAAAGGACGAAAATAAGGCATTCATTTATTATCATAAATCCGCAGAGATGGGGCACGTTATGGGAATGATTTACGTTGGATATTTTTATCAAAATGGAATTGGAGTCGAAATAGATGAACATAAGGCATTCATTTATTATCAAAGATCAGCAGAGATGGGTGACGCTATTGGAACATATAATGTTGGAACTTGCTATCGATATAAAATTGGAGTTGAGAAGGATGAGCATAAGGCATTCATTTGTTATCAAAAATCTGCTAATATGGGTAATGTTTGGGCAATGTCAGATGTTGCTTGTTGCTATAGGAATGGTGTTGGAACAACAAGAGATTTACAGAAGGCAAATTTTTGGTATAAAAGGTAGATTAAAAATTTGGTTTGATTTTATAATATCAAATTTAATTTCATAATTTATTAAAGAACATATTAAATCAATAGGCAACAAGAAGAATTAACAGGTATATTATTTATTTATTTATTTATTTATTTATTTTCATTCATTCAACAAATTAATTTAATAAATGTTTCTAGTTTCAAATGAATGGATGCATGAAAGTTTTGATATTGACAACAGTTTAAAAAAAGCATTGCTTGAAATAAAATATCCGCTATTATGGATTTCTTATGAAAAATTTGAAGACATTAAAGAGTTAGGAAGAGGTGGATTTGCAACAGTATATCGTTCTAAATATATGTTTGAAGGAGATAAAAAAAAGATAACGGTAGAAAAGGCTGTCGCACTTAAAGTAATTCACGGATCAAAGAATAATCCAGATGAATTTATAAAAGAGGTAAGTGTGAATTCTTATTGCTTTATTGAAGATATTGTTCTGAGTTTTTGTGTTTTTACTTATCAAATTTATAGGTGAAGGCATATTGTGAAATTTCCCGTAACATGCCTTCATTTTTAAGGTGTCATGGAATATCCAAACATATTGATTCTAAAGACTATATTATGGTTCTGGAATATGCAGAAGGGGGTTCTTTGCGAAAAAATCTTTATTCTGTCTCATTAATGGGATGGAAAGATAAATTGTCACTCTTACATTGCATTGCTTCAGATCTTCAAGCAATTCATTCACAAAATTATATTCATCGAGACTTACATAGCGGTAATATTTTACAAGAAACTTTACAAAGTGCGCGTATTGCAGATTTAGGGCTTTCGGCTTCAACTAGTGAAAGCTCAAAGATAGAATCCAATGGAGTTTACGGTGTATTACCTTATATACCTCCAGAAGTCTTGAATAAAAAACAATATACTACAGCATCTGATATATATTCATTTGGCATAATTATGTGGGAAATTTTATTTGGAATTCCAGTAACTATAATTTATGAATATTTTTTTAACCATTACGGACTAAATCAACTTGTAATCCAAATAGTTCTTAATGAACTAAGGCCACCAATTCTTGAAAATATTGGGTCACATTATATTGATTTTATGAAAGAGTGTTGGGATGATGATCCTGAAAAGCGTCCATTAGCAGTAAAAATCTGTGAAACTCTTACGGAATGGCAAAATGATAAAAAGATTTTATTCAAGCTTACTGAATATGACCAAAAAATTAGGCATTTAATGAGTAGTAATATGATTAATGTAAATTTAAGTTATTTCGACGGGAAATCGAAAACTTTAATTAATGAAATTAGTTGTCCTGATGAAATTTATAATATTATACCTCAATCGACAATCAATAATTTGGAAGATCAAAGTAAAATTTTAATTATTAAATTTAATTATCCTGACAAAAATCCTGATAAAATTTATAATGATCAATTTTACACTGATGAAATTTATGATGACCAATTTCTTGATGATATTATACCTCAATCGGCAATCAATAATTCGAAAGGGGATAGTAAAAACTTAATAATTATATCTCAATCGACGATTAATAATCTTACCTCAATCAATAATTTGGAAAGTGAATGTAAAAATTTAATTATTAAATTTTGAAAGATCTGTTTCAATTATAGTTGTTAGACGAAACCTCGAGGTTTCGCGCTGACGAAAGTCGAAACCTAGTTTCGACTTTCGTCAATTAAAAT